TCTGAATAAAGTTAAGTATGGCAAATTATATAACTAGGTTAACTTCTGTGAACCTAAGTTGTAAATAAGTCCGTCAAGTAGTCTTGTCATTTTTTTCTAATTTCATAGTGCTTGAAAAATTTTCAATGTCATATAACAAACCATGAACTATGAAAAGAAAAAGGCTTATATTGTGTATCTGGTCTTGTGATGTGTATGGATAACAAAAAGCTTCACATTATGGGTAAATTAATAAAAACTGTCAAATGAAAAGTTGACACTAACTTGGATTTACCCAAAGAATATCCCTCAACCTAAATCTATTTCACAAGCCACAAAGATTTGATAACTGTCCTAGAAACAGGTTGTAATTCATGACACACTGATATCAACAACCAAATTGAAGAATTCCAGGAATTTCTTTCACGGGCTTGTACCTAATTTTCCCAGTTGAATGTGAGTGTCTCTATTCTGGTCCCTATCACATTTTGTTCTGACTCTCTTTTGGCACATTTTGTCTGAAACTGCAGCTCAGTCCCAGCTGTGCACCTATGTATGCTATGACCTACAGCAAGTTAGCTAATCAATTTTTGCTTCCAGTTCATCATCTATAAACAGGGGTAGTAATTGTATCTAGCCCAGAAGGTGACTGCAAGATTTAATCTATAGCACTTAGCAAGGTGTCTGATATATAAGTGCCCGATAATCTTAACTATTATAATTATTATCCTTATTATAATTATTATTAGATATTATCACTCCCAGTTGGTAAGCTCTTTGTACCTCCACATAACAATCAATATATGATTTTTCACATTGATCTTATTATAAGAATGAAAAAGTGAATGATTGAATGGATAAAATAATGTACGAAAAAAAAAGGCAAGCACTTGAAAGACAGGGAGCTTATATACCAGAAGACAACATAATAATTAAAGCAAATCCTGATAGCAGATCTTTGCTCAAAATTTACACAGTCTGACCACTTCTCATTACCTCCACTGCTTTGTCCAGTCCAAGTCATGATAATTTCCAGCCTAGATTATCCAAAAATCTTCTAATGGAAGACTGTGTTCCTGATATTGCCTTCTCTAAGGCTAATTTCATCTCAGATAATTCAGAATGACTCAATTAAAATTAATACTTACCATGTTACCTTTTTGCTCAAAACCCTGTAATGATTTCCTGTCAGTAAGGGTAAATGTAAAAGTCTTTCAATGGCTTACTAGGCCCTATAACACCCACCATCAACTTCCTTGACCTTTCCTTGGTCTAGACAAGCTGCTGCTTCAGGGTCAGTATCCTTGATGCTCTTAGCCTGAAATTCTCTTTCCCAAGACACTGCCTAGATTAACCACTCATCTTTCTAGAGCTGTACTCAAATGTTCTTTCTTGACCATCCTACCTAACATTCCATCCTTGCCCTCCACTTCACAATTTTACTTGTTATTTTCCTGTCCACCATTTTCCCCGACTTATTTTTCTTCTCAGCATTTATCACTTTCTATTTTGTCCACATTTATGTATTTATCTTGCTTACTATTCATGTCTTCTATAGGAATGTAAATGCCATATGGCAGGGAATACTTTTTTCTACTGCTATATTCTCAGCACTTACACAATGTTTGCTACATAGCAGGTACTCAGTAGTTTCTGAACAAAAAAAATGATTAAACCATTATAATTACATTGTTTATTACTTAAAATTCAGCTGCAATAGCTTCCCCTGAGGCTTTTGATATGCCTCTATGATATCTGTGTATATTGGAAGTGGAGGAAAGTTTGACATAGAAAAGTAATTGGGTTGAATTATTGAAAGAGGAAAGTATTAAAGGGAGTCCCATAGTCCTACAGTCACCATGATCCTGCTCTGCAGAGCTTAGGATGACAGACAGAAGTAAGGAGTAGATAGAGGTTATTAAATCCTAGGATGTTTATGGAAAAGCAGAGCCCCACTAATCATACCTGGTTCTTCTCCCCGTCTTTGATTAAGATGGCTTCTTTCATTCTTGCTTCTCCTGCCTGGAAGTTGTCAGGGGTCAGGATTTGAAGAAGGCTTTGTTAGGAAGGGCCAGGGTTGATAGCCAATGACAAGTAGAAGAAACTCATGGAGATAAGTAAATTATTCATAGTTTGTCATCTTCAGGGACACTCTTGAAAAGCTGATTTCCCGTTTTAGGGTAATATACTACAAAAGAGGAAAGAAAGTACTTACTAGAGATGGCAGTATGTAGGGGACAAAACGAATAACTCACACTTTCACAAATTATTTGTGGAACTGTCAGATGGTGATGTTACCTGAAGGCAAGTACACTTTTATTCACAGTTATTCACCATATCATCTTATACAATTCAGTTCTGAATTGGAGATACAGTTAAGATTTGAGATAGGAAAGAATAATTCAGACAGCCCTGTATCAGAGCTTCTCCATTACTAACTTATCTTCATATAATTTAAGGTGTGTTTATGATCTTTATTATTCATATGTTGCCAATATAATGTTTATAATTAGGGAAGTAAATCAATAATTATCACTCTTATCACAGAAATCATCCAAAATTTAGCAATAGGCAAAAGATATGAATGGCATTCTCTCAGTAGAGGGCTTCATTTGATATTCTAGCAACAAAGCTACTTTCCAACTCTAGGCAAAGGGGTTAATTAGTACAGTTTCATCCAGTAGAAATGCAAACAATGTCTGTCCAATGGAACATATAGCCTGAGATGTTATGGTTTATTATTATATTGTAGGATACTAAGCCAGTTTTGTATCTAATCCTCTCATTTATCTCAATATTTATTTATATAATACACACACACATATATATATATATATATATATATATATATCGCTAGCTTCTCAAATGCTCTTTGGACTGGTTTCTAGATCTCATTAGTTCCCTCTTTAGGTAATAAAGTGAATAAAATCTTTGACTTGTTCATTTTACTTTTGTTATGAGAGTTTTTTTTTAACTTTTACAAAATTAACACTAATATTTTTTATTACCTCTCAAAATTACCCTATGTTCTACTGACTTCACCTAATGGGAATTAGTTGATTGACAAGTAACCTCATAAAGCTTACTGCCTATTTTACAGCCTGAAGCATTACATTCATGGTTTGTCTTTCCTGTTTTCTATAAACGCATCACCCATTCTTCCCATCCAAGTTATTACATGGATAATTCTTGTTTTTTCATAGGCCTTGATACATGCTTGGTACTTTATGACTTTGTAACAAGTTTTTTGTAAAACTTAATTTTACTCTAACCACCTAAGCAATAGGCAACTAGAAAAAACACTGCATAGGCCAAATTTGTTTTTGTTCATCCTTATCACTCTTCAAACAGATATATGAATCAAAATAAAATATTAGACTTTACAGTGATAACAGACTGAGTTCAACAGACAAAAATATTCTGAATGTCCTATGAAGGATTAAATTAAATTAAAGAGTGCCCAAAAGTAACACCACCACTAAAGATGATGATACAAAAAATTTTTGAAAGAGAAAAACTAATAGAATGGTCATTGAAAATAGGTTTTTTAAAAATAAGATAATGTGCTGTTTTCTTCTACTACCCCCATAATATGACATTTGCCAAGTGGTAGTCAGCAACATTCTGATCATTCATAGACAATAATTTCTTCTTAAGGAAGTATTTCATTTTTCTAGCTGTTGTCAAATTTTTCTACACTATTTTCATCTTCGTTAAAGGAGAACCATAAAAAAGCAAAAAGAAACATTTCTAGAGATCATTGTATACAAAAAGAGTATTCTATAATTTGGCATTCTCACTCATTCTTGCAGGCAGCCTCATTGTTACTTCTGGCCATTTCATTCTAGAACGTGAATGAAAAGACAAGCAATATTTTTATTAGGGATTTATTAGAAGAAACTCAAAAATGAAGTAAAAAAATTGATAAGGTTGCATAATAGGATTTAAGAATGTCGTTTCTTCCAATTGCTGAATGAATACAACATCAATATTGATGTTTAATATAGTTTAGAAAATTATTAATATTCTTTCTACACTGTCAAGAAATATTGGTAAATAATATAGAAATTGTGTTAAAAGGGTAAATAAACATAAATGACAAAAACTTCTGTTCCTAGAGAGATTTCATGTAATATGGTATTTAATTTCTAAAAAAGTAAAATCTTGTTCATCTGAAATGCCACATTTTCTGTAAAAATTTCTGATAAATACTAAAAACCGAGTTATTCAGTTTCTGTTCATGTTCCAAGACTCATCCCTCAAGTTTAAATTTATGAGTAGTTGTGTTTAAAAGATTAGTTTGTGACATATCAACTGTCATCGATGTAGACGTTTTAAAATATTAACTATTATAAGCTAGAAATATTTTAAAAACTGAGGTCAGATTTGGCCCAAGGTCACACTAATATATCTCTCATTGTCTACTACTGACATTTGCTGAATATTACCTCAGGCTACATTTTTAGCGTTCCCTCTGGCATGTAGAGATTAGATATGACATTTCTTGGCCAGAATAAAACATAAGGTCAATTCTAAAGAATATAATACTGCATTTTTTTCTGTGCAACTTTGCATTTGCTTATCTGTACTACACAGACAGTTCATTTTAAAGCATGGGACTTATGAACCACTACTGGCACATAATAAATCCTTCCAACAGGATGCCTCACCACCATTGTCCCACCCTATATGACTACCTCCCAAGCCCTCAGCAAAATCCCTGAGAAAACAAATACAGTGGAAGAAAGAATTCTCCAGCTCCAACTGTAAGAGGTTGAGGAAGTTTATCCTCCCACTACTTGAAAAAGATGGTAGTTTCATCAGCAGAATGTTTCCCACTGAGATAATGTTATAAGTGATGATTGGTATATGTAAATCCATGAGTTACTATTCAACTTTATTGTGAATTAAATAAGATTTTGTATAATCTTAAACAGGTATCAATTATTTGTTAAAGTACTTAGGAATAACATCCCATTGGCAGGTTTGTAGTAGGAAGAAGAATTTTGAAATGTCACGAATTATGCTTGGCATTTTATTTTTCTTCCTAGAACTTTAACATTTTTTTAAAAGGTAACAATAATAATAAAAACCCATATTTGGCCTGAGAGCCAATTTTGCTCTCATAATCACCCTGTCACATCCACTGAACCTGATTAGAGTCAATCCATAAATGAAATTAGTAAACAAAAATATACTTGAGTTTTGCTCTCTGAATGAAATGCAAGGCTTACATAATTCACGTAACTAAACATATAGATAGTTAAAATGAAGAAAAAAACATTCTTACAAACCATGAACAATATCCAAAATGAAGAAAATTGTCAACTTAAAATTTAAAATACAAGTATAATTACTTCTTGTATGGCTACTGGTACTGAGCTACATGGCACAATAAAATACACTTAATATGCTGTAATGGGTTTATTTTGCTTAGTCTAGGTCTTATCTAGAAAGGCACACCTAGAGGTGGGTTTAGGATCCTGATTGCAGGATTGCATTATCAGTAATTCAGATAATCTGAAAACTTGAAAATAATGCCCTTACTCCTGGATTTAAATATTATCTACAAACAACCATTACTATTAGGAGAAACTCAACAAAAAGCCAGTAGATACACATTTCCTTCTATATGCAGCAATGTGTCTTTGTAGATATCTAGGAAACATCACTGTATGTTGAAGGAGCCTGTGCTATGCTACTTCAACCTTCTCTGTTAAATAAAGTAACTGTCAGTAACTGGGTTGAAGCTACAGAGCACAGACAGCTCTCTGTATCTATAAGGAGTGCAATGAGCCATCCAAGCTAACTCAGCAGAGTGAACATTCACTAACAAAATGATTGTGGAGACCCACTGACTTGATGGATGTCTGGGATTGTATGGCATAGAAGAGCCCATGACAAAAATGGGAACAGATTCGAAAGTCATTATCAGCCTCCTTTTATCCATTCTGGCATGGTTTATTAGTATGATACAGGCTCCCTGTTTCCTCTCTCTTTCATGATACTGTTCTATGAACCAATGAATGTTTTCATTTGGAAAATAAGAAAGCATTGACATATTACCTGAACTGTGGCTTCTTATAGTGATGCCAAGGGAATAAATATGCTAATTATGTGCTTTGAAGAACGTACTGGGTAAGGCCCATTACTTCACTGATTTCAGTGATTTCTATGCCCAGGTGAGAAAAGCTTAAAACTACATACCACATGATATTTCTTTATGCAAAAATTTTGATTTAGAAATATAATGGGGAATTACAGTGACACATTTTGATGTACTTTCAAATGGTAATCTGCATATTACATTCTCCAAAGTAAAGTTTAATTCATCATTTGTTAATTAACTCAAAGTAATTTACCTCAAACGATTGCTTGATTCTTCATGAAAGAAGCAGTTACTATGAAAAGCTGCCACAGAAATCTTGAAATATTCACAAAGTCTTACACTAATAATGCCTTTTAATACAGGAATAAAAGACAATCTGCCTCATATGCACACAAATGTACAAAAACATATTCCTCAAAGAAATATTTCCTCAGAACACCAGAGCTTTCATAGAAGGAACTAACTAGAAAGAAGAGCTTTCCCAAGATTTAAAACTGGAACAAAACAACTCTCAACATTTGCAAAACATTCCTTTATTATTAGAAATAAATTATTTGTATAAAAAATTGCATGCATCAATCATTGCATTTATTTTTAGCACAACCCAGGGCTTCAATCCGGTCAGCCATGACAAGAAACAGACTCATTGTCTTATACAAGTTGAACAATGTGGGACAGGAATGGGAGTTCTCACAATCACAGAAAAATACTTACAAGAATAACATCGGACATGATTTATTTCAACAGCATTTTTTTTTCACAAGCTAACATTAGTTTTCCTTTTGTGATTTTTTTTAACTGCTCATGAGTAAGCAATACTTTAGCTTGACACTTATTGGTTTTATTGTATAAAACGGGTTTCTTCACTTCCCGTTTATTGATACTTTTGGCTCATGGCTAATTTTTGTTCCTTACAAGACTGACTATTGATTTGATTGATTGTAGTCTACGGAGATCTCCAGGAGTGAATTTTTGTAGTCTCATGTTCATTGTTTAACATCATATACCACATTTCTTCAGATTGTATCATTTCCCTGTTTCAGATTGAATGATTGCTGTAGCTGATATATGTTGTCTTGGTAGAGGAAGCTGTTAAGATAAATGAGGACAAATTAAAATAGCATATAATAGTACATCATTTTGTTAATATGATTTTAAAATTCAAATCCTGTAAAGACTGTTTTTTAATATCCAGCTTTTACAGCGTGTTACTCATTATTTTTAAACCATTCACAGTCATGCACAGCATAATGACATTTCAGGTCAACAGCAGACCACATTATATAAAGGTAGTCCCAAGAGATTATAATGGAGCTGAAAATTCCTATCACCCAATGAAGCCAGCCATCATAACATAGCACATAATTCACATGTTTGTGGTTTGTTATATAAACAAACTTCCTGTACTGCCAGTCATGAAAAAGCATAGCACATACAATTATGTACAATACATAATACTTGATAATAACACACGACTGTGTTACTAGTTTAAGTATTTACTACACTACACTTTTTTATCACTATTTTAGAGTGCACTTCTTCTACTTATACACTATAAAGTTAACTGTACAACAGCCTCGGGCAGGTCCTTCAGGGGTATTCCAGAATAATGCATTGCTATTACACGAGATGACAACTTCATGCGTGTTGTTACCCCTGAAGACCTTCCTTCCAGTGGAATAAGACGTGGAGGTGGAAGTGATATTGATGATCCTGACCCTGTGGCGGCCTAGGCTAGCATGTGTGTGTGTGTGTGTGTGTGTGTGTGTGTGTGTACATCTTAGTTTTAAACACAAAAAGTTTAAAAAGTAAAATGAATAAATAAAAATAGAAAAAAGTCTATCCTTGAGTAAGGATATAAATACAGAAAATAGTTTTTATAGCTGGAAAATGCATTTGTGTTTTAAGCTGTTATTACAAAAGAGTCAAAATTTAAAAAGAATAAAATGTTTATAAAGTAAAAAAGTTATCACAGGCAAAGATAGTATAATATCGAAAAAGGAATGTTTAAAATAAATTTAATATAGTCTAAGTGTAGAGTGTTTATAATATCTACAATACTGCCATGTCCTAGGCCTTCACATTCAATCACTACTCATTCACTTAATGACCCAGGGCAACCTCCAATCCTACCAGCTCCATTCATAGTACGTGCCCTATCTACATATACCATTTTAATCTTATATACTCATTTTTTGCTGTATTTTTTCTATGTTTAGATATGTTTAGATACACAAATATCATTGTGTTACAATTACGTATACAATTCAGTACAGTATCATGCTATACAGGTTTGTAGCCTAGGAAGAATTGCTATACTATGTTGCCTGGGTGTGTCGTAGGCTATACTATTTGGTTTGTGTAAGTATGCTGTATGATGTTTGCACAAAGAGAAAATTGCCTAACAATGCATTTCTTAGAACATGTCATTAAGCAATGCATGACTGCAGTAAAAATTAAATGACAGTAGAAATAAAAATGCTGCAGCAATTTTAATCTGTCAAAGTCAGTAGTCTCATTTATAGTATACAGATACGTAATAGAAAACTAAAAATATGAAAGTGCCAATCTTTAATATTTTAGGTAAAATTTTACCTTTGCATATATGTAGAATAAAAGAACAGATCAATTATCTGTCCTACAAAATACAAAAAGTATTTTTTACTACCTAAGTCAAAGACCTTGATTCTTTGAGACTTATATAATGACCAAAAAAAAGTGAAGTGATTATAATTAGTTGTGCTATGAAAATAAATACATCTTCCACTTAAAAATACACAATAATCTTAGACTTTAGAGGTGAACATGCTAAAATATCAAGTATACAGAATAGTAAACATGTGAATTGCCAATACATATTTATGGTTTGCTTTGGTTTCATCAAAAGGAGACAAATGAAGATGCTTAAGAAAATAAAGACTGAAATAAATAAACAATTGTTCTATTACCAACCTACTGTAAAGTAAAACTCACTATTTTAAGACCATTAGAGAGATATTATGGCAAATTTATATTCATGCCTAAACTTCTGGAGAATGTAAATCTAAATCCAAATAATACCTTTGGATTTCTAAAAGATGTGATGCCACCAATCGCTGTCCTAAAATTCAAATGTGATATCCTATTTTTTCATGTAATTCTAGAATGCATAATCATAAGATAAAAGATATTTTAAAAAGCAAAGCATGTATGTGTTTCAAAATATGAATCCAATTCAGGATAAAACAGATTTTTAGAAAATAATTTAGCTATTGAACACTGAATAAGACTAGACACTGTCAAGTCCCTCCTCTGAAATAACTGACAATCAGACTCATTCCATCTTAGTATGCTACACTATTGAAGGACTAGACAAGTTCTTACCAGAGACCAAGTTCATACAAAGTTCATAACCACTAAAATTAACTCAGCCCCAAGAAGTGCTACTATAGATTTTTTTATTATTTATTATTTCATTGAATATTATGAGCTTCAGGGTAAAAATAGTTGATATATCTGCTTATCTTATCTACATTGCTTACCCTTCTAGGGTATTATTATGGCACAGTGCAAAGGAAGTAGACCTTAGACCTGGTTTTAAATTACATTCTATTTCCTACAAATGAATGGAAAAAAGAATGTCATTGGGCCAGGTTATTGGGCCTTAGTTTTATCACTAGTTCAGAACCTACAATACTGGGTTTCTGTGAGGATGAAAGCAGAATAGATTGGGATGAAACAGCTACAGTCTGGAGCAGCCAATACAGAGCCAGCCTCCCTCCCTCCCTTCCTCTCTTCCTTCTTTCCTTTCTTCCATCCTTCTTTCTTTGCTTTCCATGAACCATACATGAGACCTAATGGAGTACTACTTTCTAATTAACCTTTCCAGAAGGTATAGTATTTGTTACATTTGATTTGGTTTGAAGTGAAACACAATGATTTTCTATGATTGCTCATTTTTATTTTTTATTTTTAATTTATATAATGCTCTCATATGCCTTTAAATTTCCTCTAAGATAATAAAATCTGTCCTTCAGTTCTGTTTTGAAAGAACTTTCATATAATCTTCACAGACAAGGTGAGGAAAAGTTGTCATAAGAGTTATAAAAAATGACCATTAAAAGGATCATCTAACACCTGTTCAGCATTTTCAACAACAACTAAAAATGTAGGAAATAGTTATAAAATTTGTATATAGCTACAAAAAGAATTACAGTTGAAATAGAGTCAACAAGAGTTGAAAGAGCTTGAAAAATACAGAATTCAGAAGATGTCCATTCGACAGATGGCAATTTGGATCAGACCATTTTTAAGGATCTTTCCAACTTTGGGGCTCTGCAGCTAATTAAAGATAATATTTCTTGAACTCTTTTTTTTTTTTTTTTTGAGATGGAGTCTTGCTCTGTAGCCAAGCTGGAGTGCAGTGGCGCAATCTTGGCTCATTGAAACCTCTGCCTCCTGGGTTCAGATGATTCTTCTGCCTCAGCCTCCTGAGTAGCTGGGACCACAAGCACGTGCCACCATGCCCGGCTAATTTTTGTATTTTTAGTAGAGACAGGTTTCACCATGTTGGCCAGGATGGTCTCGAGCTCTTAACCTCGTGATCCACCCACCTCGGCCTCCCAAAGTGCTGGGATTACAGGCGTGATCCACCGCGCCTGGCCTTTTGAACTCTTAAATGTGGTTTCTAGGAAGAAAAAATGGTAGAATTCCATTGAGAATTGAGAATAAAATTCACAAAAGGAGAGTAATGCCAATTTTTCTACTGGTTGGAAAAGGAAGTGTAAGGCTCTGGAAACAGATGATTTAGTCAACATGAAAGTGACGATAAGGGGCACATTTTGTGGGTGGCAGATATCTCCAAAGAATCTTTATCGCAGACGTATCATAGAAAAAAATGAATCAGACACGTACAGATGAGTTCACAGGGAGATTTTTTTTCCAGTGTTTTTTTTCACAGTGATGAATATACTTATATGAAAATCAGCTTTTGAGTACCGCAACAGTAAATTTCCTTGTGTGCACCACACTGTGTTCACAAGCTAGAGAAAACAAATCTACCTGCAGCAGCTGTTTTCATGAATTATTCATGAGCATAACTTGAGGAATACTATGTACAGCATTTGTTAATTGAGTACAGTTGGCAAAATTCATATATATCAACTTTGTTTCTAACTCCCTTACACTCTGTTATGAAATAACACTTGACCTTTTTTTCTAAATATAAAATATAGTCTGCAAATTCAGCAATTAACACAGTACTCACTGGTTTCCCATCCAGCTTCCTATTGCTTATATTTATTCTGTGTAGATTTTGAAGCTTTAACATTCTGAACACAAATGTACCCTTTCATATAGAAAGGCCATGTAAGTGAACAAAGGTTAAAAATGGTGACTTGGAGTAGGTTTGTGGAAGGATGTGTGAAGATGTCATACGTCTTTCTCTCTTGAATGAATACACTGTAATCACCTTTTTCGGGTCCAACTTACTCAAACCTAAACTACCCCTGTAAAAGATCAATCCACTAAAATCTCCCAAGTACGACTAAATCTTTTTTCTGATAGTAATTGATATTATCTTGATTCACTTCTTGACTTTCCTTTACATTCTAAAAGTGAGCATCTGACTCCTCCAGAATATTATAGGCTTACCCTCGAAATAGGTCTTGTGTTTGCAATATTTCATTCTCATTTTAAGAAAACAGAGAAATACATGCATGCTATATAATTTCCATTTCAATATTAACAGAAAAGAACCAAAGGAAAACAGTGTGAGATTCACTTCAATAATATGAGATTAGTTCTTATCAATACTGAGAATTTTCTTTTGCAGGGCATCTATTTATTCTTTAAAGTGGTGAAAAGGTTATTAGATTTTTTTCCCACCGCTTTCCAAAGGTGAGTCTGGATGACCGGTATTTATTTCACTATAAGTTTGGTTCTTTTATTTGGCAACCATATTTTATAAAGTTTCTCGATGGCTGCTAAAAAAAAAGAAAGAAAGAAAGAAAGAAAAACAGGTACAACAATAGACTCCAGTGAGTCATGCTGAGAAGTACCAGTGTTCAAATTATATCACTGGCCAACAGCAGTTTATTGGCATCCTGTAATAGGTTTCAACTTCCTACACTGATGCTCTCAAGGTAGGAAAAAAGATGAAAATTTTCCTCAAATCACAAGCATTCTACTTTGATGCCTTTAATGGCAGTTATAGTATGCCTTTTGCTAAGAGCTGAAATAGGTTTATTATTAGTAAATTGCTTCCCTACAATCAGAGATGATTGTAATGATTTGTTCCTAAAGCCCATCCTTACCTTGCCTTCTCATATTTCTTACTCCACAAGTTTTCATGTTTGCAGAAAAGTGAATATGTGGAGGGTGTTTATGAAATTCTTGTAAGGTTCATTTCTCTACAAGTGACTAAATTTGGTATCAGTGACCTGAAGGTAATCTTTTTAGAGCCAATCTGGCTAATAATTCCAGATAAGCGGATAGTAACTGAAACCAGTATGTCTAATTAAGCAATGCTAATCAACTATCACAGGATAGTTCTGTGTATGGTACCTTGATATAGACAATGCTCATCTAGAAATCTTGATAAAAAAGGTTTATAGATCGAATGTAGATCATGAGTTGCTATAATAATTAAACCAAATGAAATTAATCCTTAGTTTTTTCTTGTATTTAGTGTCAAAACTATGGAGAGTAGGGGATACAGACTGGTGGATGAATATGAGAGGAAGAGAATATTTTTGCATAGAATTTTGTCCTTAATTACTGAATGCTTGGCTGGGTGTGGTAACTCACACCTGTAATCCTAGCATTTTAGGGGGCCTAGGTGTGAGGATCACTTGAGCCTAAGAGTTAGAGACCAGCCTGGGCAATATAATGAGACCCTGTCTCTATAAAATAAATAAACAAAATTAGCTGGGCATGGTGGCACGTGACTACAGTCCAAGATATTTGGAAGGCTGAGGTGGGAGGATCACTTGAGCCCAGGAGGTAGAGGCTGCAGTGAGCCTAGATCACACCACTGCACTCCAGCCTGGGCAACAAAGCAAGTACCTATTTCAAACAGAAAACAAAACAAAACAAAACAAGTATTGAATACCTATGTTATATTCCAAAAGACTAGAAGCCACTCTTTTTTTTTTTTTTTTTTTTGATTCATCTGTAGAACCTAGTAAGGAAAGGCTGTCATGTTTATCATACTAAGCTTTCTGGCATTTTACCATACAAATCTTCAATCTATTTGCTACTCTTTCATAGATAACAAGATGGACCTCAATAGATCCATTAAATTCTACTAGCTGAGCCCAGGTTTCTGTGTCTTGTTATCATGTGCTTCTTTCTGGGTGGACTATAGAGAAGAAAATAGGTGAAGAAAAGGCAAATGGAAAGGTGGTTCTAGAAAAGAGTCTATTTCCAGGGTCATGAAGCTTTTGAGGAAGAACTTTCAGTCAGGCACGGTGGCTCACGCCTGTAATTCCAGCACTTTGGGAGGCCGAAGCGGATCATGAGAGTCAGGAGTTTGAGGCCAGCCTGTCCAGTATGGTGAAACCCCATCTCTACTAATAAGTACAAAAATTAGCCAAGTGTAGTGGCACATGCCTGTAGTCCCAGCTACTCAGGAGGCTGAGGCAGGAGAACTGCTTGAACCCAGGAGGTAGAAGTTGCAGTGAGCTGAGATGAAGCCACTGCTCTCTAGCCTGGGCGATAGAGTGAGACTTTGTCTCAAAAAAAAAAAAAAAAGTAGAAAAACTTCAATTATCTTAATATATCCAAGAAGGGAAGTCAAGAGAAGCCCTCGGGAAGCCAAGGAAAGGGGACCACTTGGGAGAAACAAGTATTAACTGTGACTTAACTAAACATATTGGCTAACTAGGGTTCTCATGTCCCTAAAGGCACAAATAACATCATTTATTTGTGTCAGATATGTAGTAGCATATTCCATAAATATCAGTAAACTACTGATACCATAAAAAGCAGCTGATATTGAACAAGAAAAATTGTGGAATCATTTCTAAGCACTAAAAGATACTTTTTATACAAAGAAGATGCTTTCAGATATAAAGCTTTGTAATGCTTCAAAATAAAGATCTGAATGTCATGCTTTGTAAAAGAGATTTCTGAGCAAGTTTGTACTGTGTAGAATAACCACTTGTCTTGACACCATTTCTTTTTAGCCAAATGGTTCTAAATGTGATGGTGTCATGGTATGTGGGTACCACCATGGCCCTGGAAACATGTAGCACAATCCCCAAGACTAAGAGAAGAATGTTCAACGTACATCTATTAGGAAGCGCTCCCGCTCTTGACCATCGGAAAGTCTACAGATGACTTACTGTTGGTTTCAAGGCTCTCACAGAGTTCACTTTTCACCTCCCCATTTGGTCTGTCATTTCCTTTTTGGATGAGTTTGCTTTGCATGGTGGCAGCTGTCACCACAGCCTTGAAGCTCCTCTTGCGTTTTTGAACATTCTGTTCTGGATGAAAAATTATAATATAAACCTTGGGCATATAGAGCATGCCCAGAGACACTGAAGCACTTAAACTCATGGAGACAGTAAGTGTTGTTGTCTGGATGTACATCTGAGGGGGAAAAAAAAAGAATCACTGTTGGTAAGCCTAACAGTAGGAGATAAAGCAAATAATGTATTATTTTCCAGCTAATTGTTCCAGTTTCTCTGCTAAAGGCACATTAAAAGGCACTTATTGAAATTGTCCTTAATTATAGTCAAGCATTCCTGTATCCTAACCTGCAAATGTAGATGAGTAAGGTTTCTTTTTTAATTGAACCCAATTTTTAAAAATAAAAATACAAACAACCAAGCTGGTGGAGCTTATTTTCCCTTTTAGATTATAAATAAACGCACATAAGGAAGGAGACAAAACCAGTCTGGCAAAACATTAACACTTAATGCTACACAGATCACCTTTAGAAGGTACTAGTGATCCAAGTGTTGTTTTAGCAGTAAGTTTAACCCAGAAGGTAAACTATATAGAGAGAAAATAGAGTGGGAGTGCAACATTCCAGATCATCACTATTACACGCCAGTGCTTGAATAATGCTAGTGGTTGCATCTTCACATCATTAATAATTCCAACTACCAAATATAATAAATCACAAGCATGTCATAAGGGCTTGATATTTTTTAACAGCCCCTCTAAAGAACACTTTCAGAGGGTTCTCAGTGATCACATCATATCAAAATAAGTCAGGTGCTTTTACAAAATATGTAGTACCTCCTTCCTCCAAGATACATTAACTGGGGATATGGTTCTGGTCTCTGCACTCTGAAATTCTCCCCCTTTGCTCATTGTTCATCCTATCCTATTGAAATTGACTTACAGAGAGAGATCTCTCTGGAAGGTTTTTCTTTGTACAACCTAGAGGTTAAGAATCTGAAAAAAAAAGCTAAAATGACTGCTTTGCCTTTTTTTTCAGTTATGGTATTGAAGCAGAAACAACAGTATTTTATTCTTTAAAAACAGAAACAAAAACCTTTGATCTGGTTCCATTTTTCATATCCTGAGCTCAAAATATATTTTCCCCCAAATAACTTGGGATACTGAGGCCACAGGGAAACCACATCTTAAGACTGTGAAGAGATTCCCTTTGTCATATCTATGATCCTTGTTAATAGATCTGTTCACTCTATTTACATCTCTGAATATGATCCTGATTAGCTGGATTTTAAAAAATATGTCTTAATCTGTTAGTCCGGCTAAAATGTATGGTACTAGTTAGATTTCATCTGGCAATCCTCAAGACAGAACTAATTGTGTCCTTTTTAATGAAAGATCAAAAAAAACCATTTGCCCTCAAGGGTAAATAAGTGAATCAGCATTAGTGTTGCCTTTTCCTAGAGGAGGCTTCTCTTAACAGATGGCAAAACCTTGAGGTAAAGAACTGTCCAAACCATGAGCAGGATGTGAGGTACAAGTTAAGAGACTGTCTTTGAATATGAAATCATACCATGCAGATTGCTGAATTTACTGTCCAATTCATTTACCACTAAGGCTGTCCTTGCATAAGAGCCCATTTTAAGTGTGGAAACCCCTTTAACAAGATTTACTACAAAGTTTACAAGATTTACTACAATTAAGAACACCCCAATGAAATAAGGATATGTACCTTTACAGCTCATAAATCTCCCTAAGCTTTGCCATCTACTTTTAAGCAACCTATTGTTGTAAACATTCCTAAGCTTCTCATATGTTGGCTAATCTTTGAGTTCCTGTTTTGCAGCTAGCATTGCTGCAAAAAACCCACACAGAAAATGGACTATATAGAAATGATATAAAGGTAAGAAAAGAATGTGGCAAAGTAAAAACCACACCTATATATGTTCCAAAGACACTCAAATAGAAAACCATCAGTTTTGTCCCAGTCAGAGCCTGCCAAGTCAATTTAGCCTTAAAACAAACTAACAGATCCTGGAGAAACAGCCATAAAATTATGGGAACACCTAATTGATTAGCTGGATTTTTTAAATGTGCCTTATTCTGTTAGTCTTGCTAACATCTACAGTACTAGTCTAAATAGTACAAAAGTATTTTTGTATTAAACATCCTATACATCTTCTCTGCTGCCAAGAATATAAATGATAATAGTCTTATTTGGAATAATTTCTGCAATATATAGTAAATTTAATTCTGCTAAATATTAGGCATGAAGAAGACTCTGGAATGCTGGCTTCCTCATTAAATACATTACTGCAGTCTATCCTTTTGGCGAGCCAATGCAACGAAAGATGTAATAAACACAGACATTAGAATTAAATAGTACTATGGTTAGTATAGCAAGCTCTTCATTAGACACTATACTTTCAAATTATTCCAAAATGCTGATCTTAATTATGTACTTTCTTAAAACAGCTTCTGAAAAATTTTAATGTGAGTTTAATATAGGAAAAGCATCAAACAAAATCCTTAGCAAACTAACACAGGAATAGAAAACTAAATACTGCATGTTCTCACTTACAAGTGGGAGCTAAATGATGAGAACACATGGAGACACAGAGGGGAACAGCACATACTGGGGCCTTTTGGAGGGTGGAGGGTGGAAGGAGGGAGAGGGTCAGGAAAAATAACTAATGGGTACTAGGCTTAATACATGGGTGATAAAATAATCTGTACAACAAATCCCCATGACACAAGTTTACTTATATAACAAACCTGCACTTGTATCCCTGAACTTAAAGTAAACGTTAAAAAAAATCCATAAAATCATACCCTAAAGTCTACACAACCTTACAGTGGCCTAGCATTTGTTACAGGGCCATGGCTTAGGTATGATTAGACTGAGTTTTTTAACTTCATCTTTGAAAAAGTCATATATGTCATAACCTCAATGAAAGCAGTAATAGCAAAACAAGCAAAGAAATATAAATGCCACCTACTGTCATTCTAGAGAAATTAAATCCTTAATAGCATGGATTGTAGGATTCTGATTATCTCCCATATTTAATAAGAAGTTGAGAGATTATATTTAACATTTGAAAATAAGCACTTGATTTTTAAAAATGCATGGAATTTTTTTATACCTATAGAAAATCTAATTACTTGAGCCATACAGGGAAGGAATATGTTCCAGTAGACCTGGATATAAATTCTAGAACCACCACTTGCATATATTTTTTTAAAAGATAAAGTTTACAAAGAAATTCTAGAGTTACTTTCTGGGTGATAAAAGCCCCCAAACCAACCTACCAGGTTACACTCCAAACTAATAAATCTTCCCTGGTAATTGGACAAATATGTTATCTTATTTTCTTCTCTGAACACTAAGTTCTTATCTATGTCATGGGGTGGGGTGGTTTGGGGTAATACTTTTGTCATAGAGGAGTTACAGGGTAGAATATTTTTAAAATCTCTTAGAAGATAGCTCAAGAAAGATTCTTTACCCTACAACTTTGCCTCTAAAAAGATGCTAACAAAGTACACTTCCAGGAGTATAGGACAAAAGAAGGACTTATTAGACACTTACTCAAATCAGACAATTTTGTTTAGCAAAAAGCTGATAGCCATGCTCTGACTATATGATGTCGAGGAAAAGCCCTTTGTAATCTCACTTCAAAGTAGGCAGAATAAAATTTTGTCCAAATGTGAACTCAAGACCGTATTCACTCTCTGGGCCACATTCTTAGAATAATATAACAGCTCTTTATCTTCAAAGTTACAGCTCACCAGAATGTAGGAGGGGACTGTATTAACTCTCATTAACCCACAAAAATTCAAGAGATGCTAGCAATGAGACTGGATATGTTAATAATAATCTTCCCTTTTCCAGCCTTTTTCTTATGTGCTCCCTCCTGGTCCCGTCACTCCAAAATACTAACACCCAGAGGATGAGAGCTATCTTTTCTGTCACACACGCTGATGGCTTGTTACTTACTCTGCCTCCATGCCCCATGGACATTTTGAACCTGAAGCAGTCAGATGAACTGAAGCAGATTTAAGCAATCTCTAGATAAGCCAGGGTTGAGCTGTGAAAATGGAGCATACTAATATGAAATCTTTTCTGGGACCTATTACAGTTCCCTCTTCAAACTCTGAATAGATCATCTGTACATATCCAAGATCTACTCAATGTAGGTCATGATCTGGAATTATTGAAGACTCCAGGAAGAGTGAAGAGGGAGGAAATTATATTTTACCAGGACAAAGGTCAGTCTTTTGCTTTCAGCCAGCTACCAGTGCACAGACGCCACAGACTCTGACATCCAACCTGGTATGTTTGTAACGTCTTAGTAACTAAGGTAAACTATTATGAAACCTAACACTCAAGGCAACTTTATGCCACATGATAAGAAACAGATTCAGTATTTATTCCCAAATATTTCTGTTTTGTGCTCAATGGTTTACTCTTACCACTCCGTTACAGTCACCAGGTTCTATATGGCTGCTTTACATGCTGCTTGACCGGTTAGAAAACTGCACTAACACTGACGCCTGTCTTTCTCTGCTCCTGTTTCTACTTCTCATCTGCATGTCTGCCAAAGTGAAATTTGCATCAAAAAATGGGTTTCCTTTCACTTTTTAGCAGCCAATAAACTTCAAAATCTCATTTACTACTAGAAGTGATTATTTTTTTTAAAGATATAGAGAAACTGGAGTTGCCCTGTGGGTGGTAACAGCCCAAATCAATCTATCATGCAAAAGTCCAAACTCTTATAAAATTCCCCTAGCAATTGAAAATTGCAAAAAATAGAGGCAACCATTCAGTTTTTTTGGCTGGAACCACTACCAAGCTCATATCAAACCTTTGTATGATTGTTCCTGTCTTGTTTATGTTAAATATCTTCCTAGCTTCATTGCTTAGTCCTTCTCTGTCTCTTACTCTCTTGCTGATCATATTTGGAATTATACCCTTAACCCAAGACAAGCTTCACGGGTGTGCACTTGTACACAGGACCCTGTACTAGAAAGATCTTATGCTTGGTTTAATGTTCTGCTGTTACTGTTTTGAAATCAGTAATCAGTAATAATTGGTGAAGAAAGAACTCCTGCATTTTCATTTCTTATTGGGCTCCACAAATTATGTAGCTAGTCCTCTTTTAAAAATCACTTATATTCTGACAAATTCC